TTTTAAATTATCTTTAGCAAACTTTTGCTTGCACGGGATATTAATGATATTGTCCAATGATTTCCACATTCTGTTGGCTCATATCTGTTTGGAATGAGCACAAATATGGATCTCTTTCTGTCAGTTGGCCAGATAGTTGTCTTCCAAATTACCTGGCATAGATGAGTGAGTGCCTCTAGTGCTGCATCAGTTTGTTGTAAGATTTCAATTTGTATTCCATCAATTCTTAAGCATTGTTCTTTGCCAATGTCTTCAATGCACCTTCAATATCATTGGCTCTTGATCATATGCTACTTTTTCAAATGGTTGAGCATACCAAATCTTTCTGGTTCCATGAATCTGTATATTCCCCCCATCTTCTTTTGACACTTTCAGCATCATTCAATATTTTCCCCATGTTGTTGCTGTTGTTAAGTGCCAATGAGTCAGTTCCAACCCATAGCAACAGTCAGGAAATTAAATGACTTATGGCTTTAGTCAAGTCTTCTGCAAAGGATCTCTTTGAAATTTTTAGAAGCCAAGATGTCACTTTGAAGACTAATGTGTGCCTGACCCATGTTATGATATTTTCAATTGCTTCATATGCATGAGAAACCAGGAATTAATAAGGACTGCCAAAATAATGAACAAATCATTGTTCTAAAAAGCACAGCCAGAAGACTCCTTAGAAGCGAGGATAATGAAACTTTATTTCATGTACATTAGCTATGTCGTCAGGAAGTACCAGTCCTCAGTGGGCTGATGAAAAAAAAGACCCTGATGAGATGACTGACACAGTGATGTTAGCGATGAAAATCAGACAAAAGGGCTATTGTGAGGATTGCCTAGGACTGGCCAATGTTTCATTCTGTTGTACATTGCTATGAGTTGGAACCAACTTGATGACATCTAACAAGAAGAACATTTCTGCATATGTACTTGTATGTATATATGTACATATATACATGTAAATATATACAGTTAGTGGACCCCCTGTGTGGCACCGTAGGATCAGCACTGGACTTTGAATCACAAAGTCAGCAGTTCAAACCCACCATCTGCTCTTCAGAAACCCTATACAGGGTAGCTATGGGTCAGAGCCCAGTGGATAGGATTTAATAATAACAACATAGTAGAGTACACAGGGGGCTAAGTTATGATAAATTCTTAGCCATAATCAAACACCTTTAGGGAATTAATCACCACATTTCAGGGCTTAGGACCATAGACTCCATATTGATGTTGTTAAGTACTGCTGAGTTGATTGTGACTCATAGTGAGTCTCTATAGTTTTTCCAAGGTTGTAAATCTTTACAAGAGCAAAAAACCTAATCTTCTTCCCATAGAGTAGACTCAAACCACTGACCTTGTTTATAACAGTCCAGTGCTTATCCTACAGAGCCACAGTGCTCCCTATAGGCCCTATAAACTAAGTCAATTGGCATATCATATTCAATAAAGACAATGCTCTACGTTCTATTTTGATAAGTAGTGACTGGAATCTTAAAACCTTGCAACAAGCCCCCTAAAATACCAACATTGGTCTCTTTCTGTCTGAGCAACAAAGAGTGAAAAAAAAAAAAAAAAATCGAAGACTCAAGGAAACAATTAGGACCAAGGGCTAAAGGACCACAGTCTCCACAGATAATGCCAAGCTACCTTTACTGACTGTTCTGTTCAGGATGAGAATAGAAGGTCCTGGACAGAGTAGTAGGATTGAAAAATAAAAGAAAAAAAGAACTTATTGGTCTGATGGGAAAAAAAAAAAAAGGACTTATTGGTCCGATGGAAAAAAGGACTTATTCGCCCGATGGAAACTGATGGAATCGCTAAGACTATGGTCCTCAGACACCATTCAGACCTGGAATGAAATCAACTCTTATGATCACCCTTAGTCAAACAATAGGCAGCATTATAAAATGAACAGTAATAGCTGTGAGGAATGTACTTCTCAGAATATCATCCAAAAACCAATTTCAGAAAGCAAGAAAGGGCAGGGAAAATGGGTGAATGGAAATGGGGAACGTAGGGAGAAAGTGAGAAAAGTTCTGTTACATTGAGGGGTTTAGAACTAACGTCACAAACCAAAATGTGTACAAATTATTGAATGGGAAAGTTATTTGCTCTGTAAACTTTCACGCAAACTGCAATAATTTATTTTTATTTTACTGTCTCGGGTTAATGCTTCATTGAGTCTCTCCTTTCTCTTTCTAAGTTCCTTCTTCTCCTTTGGTACAATGATAATTATAAATAAGAAAATGTACTAAGTACCTTCTCCCATCATTGATATTCTACATTATTTCCTGAGCAAATAATTAGCCATTAGGAATCTGGTAGCACCCTGAGTGCTGTTTGCAGGCACTTAATTCTTTCATTCAAATGAAACTTCAAAATGTCATCTCAATAACATTATTTGCCTAAAGAAATATGCCAAAACAATGTTGACACAGAGAGTTTTATTGTGACTAGAAATCTTGTCTGTGCTTCGATAGAAAAAACAAAAAACCACAAACCATAGCTGAAGGGATGCATTTTTATAGGAGGCTCTTTGCACATTTGTGAAGCATTCCATATTTTTTGGAGTCCTGGTGTGGTACTGTGAGTTAATGCACTGTACTGCAAAGTCAAACTGCAAGGTCGATGGTTCAAGCTCATGAGCCGCTTCTCAGAAATCATATATAGAGTCTCTATGGGTCAAAACTGATTCAATGGCACTTAACAACAACAGCAACTTTACACATAGTAGAGGCCAGTTCTGCTCTCCTCGATCTCATTTCTTCTTCCAGTCCCTCAGTTCCACCTCCTTCAGGTGTGAAGCCCTTATGGACTTGTGGCTGTAGAGTCAACTCTGACTCATGGTGACCCCATGCACAACAGAAAGAATGTCTACTTCCCCTTACCCATCTTCAGCAACTGTATGAGTCTTTGCCAGATTGTACCTCCTAATTAAATTGGTTCAATGATCTCCAAATGCCTTTTCTTGGGATGTGGCTTTTGCCCTCTCCAGGCCCAAGCTTCCCAGTCATGCCTGTTATTTTAACAGATCCAAACTATCTCCCTTTTCTCACTCACCCATGTGTTGTATCATGTTTGTGCTTAAATACAGTTTTTTTCTCTTTCAAATCTTACTTTTATACTTTCAGCTCCACCATTTATTATATGTGTGACATTATTCAAGCTACTTAAACTTCCCTGGATCTTGATTTTCTCATTTGTAAAGTGAGACCATCAGAGGAGCATTGTGAGGACCAACTGGGATAGTGCCTGGACAGTATTTCTGAGCCTTGTTTTTAAAAGTCACACAAACAAAACATCAGGGGATGCTGTGATTAGTTGCATTGAGTTGACTTTGACTCGTGATGATTCCATGTGCAATAGAAAGGAGCATTGCCCAGCCCTGCACCATCTTCACAATTGTCGGGATGCACAAGTGCATTATTGCCTTCCAAACAACGGGCTCATCTTCCACCAATATATTGGTAGCGTTCGTTGTAATTCATATAGTTTTCTTTGCCTAACATTCAGAAATCAATTGCCAGGCCTTTTTTTCCTAGTTTGTCTTAGTATAGAAACCCTCCTGAAATCTGTGCACCATGAGCAACACTGCTGGTATTTGAAGTACTGACGGCATAGCCTCCAACATTATAGCAACAAACAAGTCACAAACTGACAAACACGAGATGGGAGGGATGCTAGCTGCTATTATTATTATCAACATCCTTCATAATTTAGCTCAAGTTCCACCTTTGCTAAGGCACTTTCTCTTACCTCCCCAGCTCTCATGTTGAGTAAATGATTTCCTTTGATTGTGTACTTAATTCTTTATTACCCTTTTTATATCTTTTTTTTTTTATTGTTCACATGGGCATAGTTTGCTATGATGTTGCTGGGCAAAGAAGTTGTTAGCAGGAAAAATTAGGAATAATAATGATTCAAGGATCTTCGTAACTCATATTTTATGGATCTCCTCCAAAAGTATGACTAGGATATGTTTGTTAATGATAAATGGAAAAATGGGATTGGCATAGCTAATTATTAATGAGTATTTCCACTATTTCAGGGCTGGTACTAGCTACCATACTTTTCTTGTTTATTCTTTACCATGATCACATGTGGTAAGTATTCTTATCCTCATTTTACATATGAGAAAACTAAGGACCTAGTAATAGC